CCGTCTCTCCTTTTCCTCGCCGCTGCCGATCTCCTTCCCAGCGCAGAGCCAGGAGGAGGGTGCCCCCTGCCACCTAGGGCAGGTACCCATTCCTCTTAGAGCCGCTGGGTTGGCGGGAGCTGGGGCGGGGGCCGGGGGCTCAACCCGGCTGCAGTGGGAATTCGAACAGCCTTTATGTCTGTTTGCTACAGATGTTAACCGCAGGTGTCATATTGCCTGCACCACCGCTCCCTCAGACAGTTCTCTTTCAGAAGTACTGGGTGGCAAACCTTTTCTTGCACACAGACAGCTCCCCTATCCTAAAGAACTTCTCACCCACAATAACACAACATCTAATTTGAATATGGACAGTAGTACCAAAGCTTGTAATAAACCCAGATGCCAACTTTGCTGCCACATAACACCCAGAAAACACGGAGGAATTTCAGACAGGCGATATATTCCGGAAGAGGAACGGTTCCCAAACGGTTTCTGGTCTGTCATTTCAGACAGAACCGTTTGAGAACTGGTTCCCTTTCGGAATATATTTATCATTTCATACACAATTGCTTCTGCCCCGTTTAGGAAACGGGGCTGAAGCGTTTTACCTGTCAACCGCTTCCAAGTACTCCTCAGTTTCCTCTCCCGGTTCCGATGTGCTTTTTCCCGCCGTTTATCGCCCGCGCGGGCGATAAACGGCTTTTTAAAAAACCGTTTGCTTTATAGCGCTATAGCGCTATAACGGAATAGCATTATATCAACCCCATTGGAATGCATGGAGTGTTTTGTTATACTGCTATAGTGCTCTAAAGCGAACGTTTAAAAAAAAGCCGGAGATCACCCGCACGGGTGAAAAACGGCGGGGGGAAAGCGGGAAAAAGCGATGCAGTCTGAAATGGCAAGACCGCTTCAGATCCAGCTCTTTACCGGAAGGGGAAAGCCATGTGTGAAATGGCAGCCCTATACCGGTTCACTTAAAAACGGATCATTACCGGCTTGAAACCGGGTTAAAAACGGATCATTACCGGCTTGAAACCGGGTGAAACTGGGTAATGTGAAATTCCCCACAATCACTGGACCTAACAACAACTATACCATCTCAGACTTATTCACTTGCTCATTACCTAACATTGTATATGCCATTAAACGCCAAGAATGCACTTCAGTTCTCTACATAGGGCAAACAGGTCAAGCCCTACATCAAAGGATAAAAAGGTAAAGGTAAAGGTTCCCTTGCTCGAAAGCCAGCCGAATCCGACTCTAGGGTTGCGGTGCTCATCTCCGTTTCCAAGCCGAAGAGCCAGCACTGTCCGAAGACATTTCCGTGGTCATGTGGCCGGCATGACTAAACACCAAGGTGCACGGAACACTGTTACCTTCCCACTGAAGTGGTACCTATTTATCTACTTGCAATTTCTTGCTTTTGAACTGCTAGGTTGGCAGGAGCTGGAACTAGAGACAGGAGCTCACTCCATCATGCAGCACACTCGGGTCTCGAACTGCTGAACTACTGACCTTCCACAGCCTGCAGTTCCGCATTTTAACCACTTGAGCCACCACAGCTCCATATACATCAAAGGATAAATGGACACAGATCTGATATCAAGAATCACAAAACCAAGAGCATTTCAACCTCCCAGGGCACTCAATAGGGGACTTCAAAGTAGCTGTTTTATTGCAAAGGAATTTCAGAAACAGACTGGAATGGGAGATTGCTGAACTAAGTTATTACAACACTCAGGACAATGGAACCCCCAGGGCTTAATAGAGATCTTGGCTCCTTATGTCACTATACATGCTAAGTCACTCAGTTCTTGCTTACATCCAGAATTAAACTTTGTTGGTTTTAAAGGTGCCACTGGACTCAAAATTCGTTCTCACATCTGTTAACTCTTTTATTATTTGTATGTCAATTTGCTTCTATGCACAGTTGTGACAGACTGCAAAGAAAAGCAGGCTTTTAAAAATGCTGTTTGTATCAGAGTCAGGGAGTTCAAGAATTAATCTTCCCTGGAGTGAAGAGCTTATGTGGTTGGCTGTTCTACTTGCTCTCTAACTGGCCAACATTATCTGAGAGAGGAAATAAAACAGCTGATCTGGAGGGAAGACACATCTTTCACCTTTGTATTTTGCAATTTGGTCTTTCTAACATCTGGATTAACAGGGGGTTTGGCTTCTGAGGGAAGAGACATTTGGGAGTAGGGTTGCCAACCTCCAGGTGGTACCTGGAAATCTCCTGCTATTACAACTGATCCCCAGGCAACAGAGATCAGCTGGAGAAAATGGCCACTTGGAAAATTGGACTCTATGGCATTATGCCCCAAACACCTTCCTCCTGAGACTTCACCCCCAAAATCTCCAGGTATTTTTCAATCTTGAGCTGGGAACACTATTTGGGAGTGAGTGTTTTCTGACAGGCAATAGTCAGAAAAGTACTTCTACAGAAAGAAGAAGAGAAACCCCATTGTCTAAATATATTAAAACTGCTCTGAAGGAGAACTTAAATTCTCAGTCAGAAAAGCTACAGAGCAGCCTTATACAGACAAAATATACTGGAGAAGTAGTTGGCAGAAGGTCTGGGTAGTTAGAATGAACTCCCAGACAAGCCAAATAGTAAAAGGAGTTATTGCTTCTTAGGGACAAGGAGAATAACTTCCCACCAGTGAAAGGGGCTGGGAAGAGAACCTTGGTCTGTGATAAAGGGGAGAAGCTTAGACACCTCAGGAGGAGTTAATGAAAAGCTGTATTATCTAAAGGAAAACATAGAACTCTGAAGGAAGGAATCTAGAAACATCAATAAGAACTGTGTTAGTGTTGAATTATACTAAACAAAGCACCTCTCAAAGAAAGAAATAGAAAGCCTTGAAACAAAACTACAAATACACTCTCTTGATTATTTACCTCAGCATTCTCAAAACCTTGACTATTCCTATTATACATATAATCCCTGCCTGTTTAATAAAAATCCTTTTTCTGTTTTTGAAAGTTAATTTGCCTCAAGTGCCATTTTCAAGGGTTGAAAAAACTGGACAGCTCCTGTATCTTCAGTAGAGTTCCTGAACTGAGAAAAAGCCTTAACTAAATATCTAAACACAGGGCGGGACAGTCAAGTCTTTAAAGACAAAGAATATATACACGCTACTGTAGGACTACTCAGTCACCGAGGAAAAACCTGCCAGACAGTTGGGGAGATACAGGGGTTTGTCAGGGGAGATACAGGGGTTACCAAAATGTGTTATTGCAATCTTAGCCCCCCAAATCTCCAGGTATTTCCCTACTCAGAGCTGGCAACCCTACTCTCCTCAGTGCCTGTTGCTAGGCAACCAAACTTCGTTCTGTCAGTAAAAGACCTATTTTGGCCTTTCGGAGAAAATTCATTGGGGCCAGTCCTGACTAGGGTCACCAGCTCCAGGTTGGGAAATTTTGTGGTGGAGTCTATGGAAGCTAGAGTTTAGGGAGGGGAGCGGCCTCTGGTGAACAGAATGCTATAGAGCCCACTCTCCAAAGCAGTTATTTTCTCCAGGGAGAGAGAGATTTGTTGTCTGGAGTTCAGTTGTGATACCAGGCGATACCACAGCCAGTGCGGCGTAGCAGTTAGAGCTTCAGAGCAGGGTCTGCCAGACCCAGGTTCTTACTGTGGAAGCTGAGTGGGTGATTTTGGACCAGTCACAGACTTTCAGCCTAACCTACCTCACAGGGTTGTTGTGCAAGTCGGAAGTGGGAGAGGAGAATGATGTAAGCTGCTTTGGTCCCCACTGCAGAGAAAGACTGTACTTTTCCTACTGGGGAACCACTGTTGCCAATCTACAGGTTAGGGCTGAAGATCACTCAGAATTACAACTGCTCTCTAGATGGCAGAGATCAGTTCCCCTGGAGAAAATGGCGGACTCTCTGTCCTTATACCCTGCTGAGATGCCCCCCCATGACAGCCAGTGTGATGCAGCAGTCAGGGCTTTAGAGCATGGTAGAAGTTGCAGATGTGTGGGGGAGATGGAAAGCAAATAAAGGTAGGCTGATGATTGGGTGGGAAGGAGATAGTGTTGCCAACTCCAGGTTGGGAAATTCCTGGAGATTTGAGGGGTGGCACCTGGAGAAGAAGAGGTTTGAGGAGGGGTGGGACCTCAGACAGGTACAATGCCATAGACTTCACCCTCTAAACCAGCCATTCCCTCCTGCGGAACCATTGTTGCCAATCTCCAGATGAGGGCTGGAGATCACTTAGAATTACAACTGCTCTCCAGGAGGGAGGGGAGAGGAGATGGAAAGCTGAACTCAAGAGGGGCAGATAAAGGTAGGTTGATGCTTGGCTGGGAAGTAAATAGGCTTGCCAACTCCAGGTTGGGAAATTCCTGGAGATTTGAGGAGTGGAGCCTGGGGAGGGTGGAGTTTGAGGAGGGGTTAGAACTCAGACAGGTACAATGCCATAGACTCCACCCTCCAAACCAGCCATTTCTTCCTGGGGAACCATTGTTGTCAATCTCCAGGAGAGGGCTGGAGATCACTCCAAATTACAACTGCTCTTCAGGTAGCAGAGATCAGTTCCACTGGAGAAAATGGTGGACTCTGTGTCATTATACCCTGCTGAGGTCGCTACAACAAATTGACACTGAGTGCCCAAGGCCGGGGAACTCTCCCAGAGCCTCTTTCTAGAGCTTGTTGTATTTATTTCCACAATGGGTCTTATTCCTAGTTCTAGAATAAGTTACCTAAGAAGGACGCAGACTGTTTTCAGGACAAAGTTGGGAAATCTTCTAGTCAGTGATATTTATGATGTTACTGTATGCCTTGATTTACAGAAAACGGCTGATCTATACAACTCACTGGATTCTTCAAAGTCTCTGATTCTGTGGGTCCCATTTACTACTAACATACTTGGCCCTCTCCCATCTTCCTGTCACTTTTTACAGGCCTAACCCACATAAGTCACACCTGTACCAAGTATAACCTCCCATTCTCAATTTGCTTTTGGGACCTTTCTTCATACAACCACCCTGATCCCACATCCAGCCTGTTCAACTCACCACAAAGTATTTCTGCTTCCCAAGCTGTTTCTGGAAGTCAGCACCAAAAATGGCAAGTTGCCCATCATAGCGGCTGCCACGCTGTCAGAAAGCAGAGATGGCAGATATTAGTTATCCATAAGGAATGCTCCAAGCAGGGGGAAATGGGCGGTTAAAAACAGTTTTTAAGGGGCCAATCACTACCAGCTCCAATTGCTGCAGAATTAGGACTCCTTTTGAACAGTAGTTCAGTCAAGTAACAAAAAAAGAGAAGTTTCCTAGCAGCCTAAAGTGATTGACTTTGACAGGAATGATCTATCAGAAGAAGTCCACCATGAAAGTCCACCATGAGCAGATTGAAGGGCAAAACAAGATATGTCAGGATGAGATAGACTTGCTTATCCATCTGTTTAACCACTCCATACATTAGCTTGGATCCAGCAGGACATGTTTTTGGATGGAAAGATTTTCACCTGCATGACTTTTGTATCCCCCCCACCCCATTGCAGCACCAGTATTTTGAGCTGGGTCTGGTAACATGTGAGGTTTTAACCACAGTCTGATGTATTTAAAGATATTTAATGGATGAATTTATTTATTTGTTTAATTGAATTTCTAACCCACCCTTCCCTGCACAGCAGGGCTCAGGGCAGGTTACAACGTCAAATGTATACAATAAGTTAAAACATTTTAAAACAATTTGAAATATTAAAACCTATACAGCAAGATAGCAGTCGAAGACAGTTAATGGGCACTCCCAGAGAACTTTCAGTATGTATGCCCACAGATGTAACCAAATGTTGGGCAGATGGTAGAAAGTAACGAGCAAGCAGTGCCACACTGATGGCGCAATGTAGGGGCAGGGGAGGCCAATGGAGTTGGATCTCCACTGGCCTCAACCAAAGGCCTAGTGGAACATCTCCATTTTACAGGCCCTGTGGAACTGCAACAAGTCCCGCAGGACCCTGATCTCACCTGGGAGAGTGTTCCACCAGGGCGGAGCCACAACCAAGAAGGCTCTGGCTCTGGTTGAGGCTAAGCTGATCTCCTTTGGACCAGGGACCACCAGCAGATGTTGATCTATGGAGCATAAAGCTCTCCGGTGAACATATGGGGAGAGACGGTCCTGTAGATTTGTTGGTCCCAGACCGCACAGGGCTTTAAAGGTTAATAATAATTCAGAAGGAGGTGCCTGGTATAACCTATGGGGTCAAGGCCCCCACAGGCCCACTTGTGGCTACAGCTTGACTCTTATTTTCTTGTATTCCCTTTTTGATGTCAGTATCAGACACACACCACCATATTCACCTATTAGGAGTATTGGGAAGACAGGTTAACAACAGACATGGTGGCTGTATCATGTCAATTTTGGGCTCTCTCTCCAGTAAATGACAGGTCTGTGTGCGCATACAGAGCTCTGATTCCATCCAAGCCAAGATACTGTGATGAAAACGTACAAACAGAAGAGTTTATCACTCACTGGAGCACAGTCTTCCTCAGTCAGCAACACGCCATGGTCCTCCTCAGGCAGGCATTCATAGGCATCAAAATACAGCCACTGGTTCAGAGGAGTGAATTTCCCAGAGGCTGCCTGCAGGCAGAAGAAGAAGGGGGGAAATTTACTCAGACATTCCTCTGGAGGAACTGCACTTTTTTTGTTTGTGTGGGGCAGAAGGGTATTTCCCTCAAGGGTCACAGAAGCCTCAGGAATAATCATACCATAAAGCTTGCCACCTTTGATCCTTGAGCAAACTCTTGTGCCTGTAACAAATATATAACAGGCAGAAATTCAATAGGAAAAGCTTCCTTAATTCTTCCATGTAGGTTTGGAGCTCTGGGTTGGGAAATACCTGGAGATTTTGGGAGTGCAGTCGGGGGGGGGGAGGTATAATGCCATATAACGCCTCAGCAGGGTATAATACCATGGAGCCCACCCTCCAAAGCAGCCATTTTCTCCAGGAGATCTGATCTTGCTTGTCTGGAAATCAGCTGTAATAGCAGTAGATCTCCAGATGCCAGCTGGAGGTTGGCAACCCCATCTCCATGCCAGGAAGAGCTGCATTTTTTTTGTTTCCTGCCTATTATGCACTAGTTCAAAGGCACAAGAGCTCTGCCACAGGAGAAAAAGAAATGGTAAAACTCTCACCATTCTTCACAGCTTCAGTCAGGTCACACTGTTGACCACACATTTGTCATGGGACTCTAAGGATGTTCCCTGACTCTCTATTTGTGGCCAGAAAGCAATTTATTCAGCACTAAAGAACACATGTGAAAAACAGAGCAGAATTCTAATCCTTAGAAATTCGCTGCAACTGGTAACTTAGCTAGTTCGTATTCACTGTGCTTTGAAATCATCCAATGAAAAATGAACTTTTCGTAGGTTTGAATAACCAAATTCCTGACTATAACTATGGGAAGGAGTTTTCTTTTTGTATCCTTTTTATATAAATGAACTTTCTCCTTCAGCAGAAAGTCAGATTTTGAAAAATGACATGGGATGAAAGCTTGTGCTCAGAGCCCAAAGGGAGTAGGGTAGGTAGGAAAGAAGACAAAAAACTGGCAGGAAAAAAAAAGGTAACTGGAGCCAAATCTTTTTGAGAAGCCTGGGAACAAGAGACGGGATGTTGCAAGGCAAAGTTAACCTTCCCACACTGACATCTGGTAAAGTTAATAATAACAATAACACTGGCAAGCCAATCCATCCTCTGTTCCATTTGCCATCAAATCCTGCAGAGTACTTCAGCCAGCACCATGACCTCGATGGCCCAAGCTAGCCTGATCTCGTAAGATCTTGGAAACTAAGCTGGGTCGGCCCTGGTTAGTATCTGGATGGGAGACCACCAAGGAAGTCCAGGGTCACTACGCAGAAGCAGGCAATGGCAAACCACCTCTGAACCGCCTCTTACCTTGAAAACCCTACAGGGTTGCCACAAATCGGCTACAACTTGACGGCACTTTCCACCACCACTTCAGCCATCTAGGTAGATGGTAGCTCGTTTCTGTACTGTTATGTGTTTATTCTGTTTTCAGCCAGGCTTTGAGGTGCTGCAGGGGAGCTAGAAAATCGATCCATGCTGCCATCTGACAACTCTAAAGAATCCGATATTCCACTTTGGAGCAGAGCTGAGACCTTGCCTAACCTGAGCCACAAAATAATCACAGATAATGCTCCCTGTTTAGGATCTTCCACACCAGTGCCAGATCCTGCTCTATTTGGTTAACAACAACACTTTTCAGATATACAAATGTGTTAAGTGTTCAAAGTTCTAAAGTCAGTATTATCACCCCCATGCTGTGGATTAAGGGTTTACAGTTGAGATCTAGTGCCTTGCCTAAAAACCTCTATCAATTTCATTGTCGAGGCAAAATTTGAACCAGGGATTTAGGGTTGTGCTGTCAGTCTCTTAAGCCCTTTGCAATCATTAAAATTAACTGTGTGCAAGGGAAGCACACACAGAGGCTGTGGTCAAACTGGAAGGTTGGCGCAGTATGGTCACACTGCTAATCTCTCAGCTTCATTTGGGAACAGAGAATCTTGGTCAGACACCACACCCTTGAGCATCTTTACAGTGTGCAGGGGCTGCAGCTGATCGTTCACAGTGTTACAGCGAGTCATCCATGCAGTGTTTTTTTAAAAAAGGTTTCCTCGTGCATGAGTTTATGCACACGTCGCGAATTGCGAGTAGGGGAAAAAAACTGCCTGGAATGGATTGGACAGTTCAGACTTCCCATCAGTTTTGTGACATTCAGACATTCGGAAACACAGGATAAATGCGCGGACATCCATAAGCACCGGACTTTCTTCGGTGGCTGTTTACTCTGCATCCAACTCGTCATACGATGGGGTGAATATGACTGGGGCACAGGCACCAGATGTGGCTGTGTGAATGAGCCCATAAGGGAACAGCAACTATATCGGGCCAAACTGCCTGTCTGACTGCAGCCATAGTCTGGTCCTCTTGATCCAAGTGGTTGCCATGTTGTGTGAGCAGGGTAACATGGGAATTTTTCTGCTTTAAGCAACTGAAAAATCCCAGTTTTTAGGGTACCTATTTGCACAAATCAGAGTTAGAAAATACACTGTTCACACAACTGGTAACGACACGTATCAAGAGGACTGTGCTCTGTGCAATCTCCCCTTCCCCACAGTTGGTCATAATGAAGGGAAAGCACTTTACACACTATGCTATACTAGCTTTCATGCTGTGTAATTACCCTTAATAGACCTGAACTATGCTCGTGGGCAGCAGGAGAGATGTGACAGAACACAATGCTAAGACCAGGGTGTTCAATCGCTTTAATGCAAAAGAGAGAGAAAATAGGCTCATAACAATACAATCATTCCACTCTTCACCAAAAAGCACTAAATCAGACTTTAAAATCAAATGATAACAAACCTCTCCCAGATGTGGCACTGAAACATGCACAGAGGCAAGCACTAGCAAGACTTAAATTGAGTATCCTTAAGGGGGTGCTTCTTTTGATAACAATGGCTGTTAGGTGGTGGTCCTACTTGTTGACTGAACTGATCACAAGACAAGGCCCTCTTCAAAAATCAAAGTCTAGTATTTTAAAAACTGTTTCAAAGCCTGAGATGCCATCTAGTGGCTATTCTACAAAACAGAAACAAAAACAACATATATACACTTGCCTGTGAACAAAAAGGCTGCATCCACACAGTGGAGATTCTCCGTATTGCATTAATTTTGTCCACATTTCCCCCCCTTCTTTGCCACTGGAGGATTTTTAGGGCCTTTTAAAAATCAGTAAATGATGCAGTGCTATAACATTATAGCACTATGTGTACACGTGTTAAGTGCTGTCAAGTGACAGCCAACTTATGACAACCCCAGCAACGAGCTTTCAAGGCATGTGAGACACAGAGGTGGTCTGCCAGCATCTTCTTCTGCAGAGTCTTCCTTGGCGATCTCCTGTCCAAGTACCAACCCTGCTTAGCTTCCAAGATCTGAAGAGGTTGGGCTATACCATGCTGCCTTCCTTCTCTTAGCACTATAGCAATTACCATTTTTTTAAAAAAAGCCTCAGAAAGCTCTCTGGTTGTGCGGTAGGGAAAATGGTGACTGTGAGGGGCTGGAAGAAGGGGAAAGACTTTTGTGGGCATGACTTTTGAAAATCCACACTTCCCATCCAGATGGCTTGGACTATGCTCTTCATGAAAAGATTGTTGCAAAGCAGATTTGGAAAGGACAGGAAAAGGATGATTTGAGAACAAGTAGAACATGACATTGTGTGGATGTTCCCCAAAAAGTGTTCCAGTTTGGAGGTCAAAGTGGAGAAAAAGCACATGAAAGCAGTCAAAGAAAGAAAGATTTATAATCGAGTTCAAAAGGGACTATGTATCTCTTGTCATGTCTTACGTCCTCTGTTCTTGCTGAGTGAATAAAAACTACATATGGGTAGAAGATGAAGAAATTAGTTATTATATTTTATATTTTGTACCAATGAAGTCCAAGATAATGTATATGTTTTATTTTAGATTATCATAAAGGATTGTAATATACCCTTTGAACAATTAAAGTGCTAGAGAATATGAAGGACCTTGTTTCCCTGCTCCTATTTTGGAAATGCACGTATGGGAGCAGTCAGAAACCATGCAGGAGTGGCTCCACATATTATTAGCAACAGATGTTTGAATACTTCCTGCTTCCAGTATTTGCACTTGCAGTATAATGCCTGAGGGAGAACTTGCACATGGAAAATTCACAAACTACATGTGCATCTCCCCCCTGCGAATTTCTCAACATATTGGAACTGCAAACAGCAGAACCTCAAACAGTATTAGGCGCTCACACATCCAGTTACTGACACTTCGGAAAAATGTCTGAAGGAGCTCTGAGGCACACATCTTGACAATGGGGGAACAATTTGATTCATATCATAGTGCCAAACTACACAATACAATTTCAGACCAGTCCAAAGTTATTTGCCTCAGGGCTGTTTCAGCTCAGGAACAATTCTGCAGGAGGGAAGGCAGGAATTCCATCTCCACACACCACAGTCCCAAACCAATTTGGGCTGCTGCCACATACTTTTACAACACAACCTCTATAGCTGTTGTGTGGAAGCAAGTTGGGTCCCAGAAACCCAGGCCTAGTTCGTTATTGTATCATGTCGTTTGTTCCATATGTACAAAAAATCTCAAGAGGTAGCCCTTGCAAAACTGAAAATTAATTGCTTCATATCCATAATTTAAAAATTGCCTAACTGTGAGTCTGGTTGTATGGTTCTATTTTGTTTTGTTTTTTAAATAATCTGTTGACAATCTTACCTGGTTATTCCGAAAGAAAACCAGTTAGATTGGTTCAAAAAAGGACAGGCAACAACCTGAGTGACACAGAGGCAAGTGGGTCAAGGAGATGGGACCTTTCTAAGTAAAAAAACAAAGCTGCCACTTCTGGGCTCCACTGGGAAATGTTTTGCTGACTCAGTTATAATTGCTGTCCTTAGGCAGTTTCAGCCTTTGTTACTTAATAACCCATTAAATAGATAAAGATGGGTAGCCACGCTAATCTCTCAGTAGCAGTGGAAAAGAGCAAGAGTCCAGTAGCACCTTAAAAACTAACACAATTTGTGGCAAGATATGAGCTTTCACGAGGTCACCGTTCATACCTTGCCACACATGTTGTTAGTCTTTAAAGTGCTACCGGACTTTTGCTCTTAACCAGTTAAATGTATTCCTGCTTCTTGCAGAGGACATAAGTCTTACTGGACCCTCCTGATGCTACAATCTGTGGCCTGGACAGCATACATGAAAAAGGCTAGTGGCCTGTACATCAGAGACAGCTCTGGCTACCAAATGCAGTATCAATGCTACTGACACAGGACTGGGGCCCTCTGGTACTCCACCCCATGGTTGCCAATCTCCGTGGCAGTTGAAGATTTCCTAGAATTACAACTGATCTCCAGTTGACAGAGATCAGTTCACCTGGAGAAAATGGCCGCTTTGGAAGGTACACTCTGTGGCATTATGCCCCACTGAAGTCCCTCCCCAAATCCCACCTTCTTCAGGCTCCATCCCCCATCCTCTGAGTATGTCCCAACCAAGAGCTGCCAACCCTATTCCACCCCCATCTCTATAGTATTTCTTAGAGCCCAGATGTGTTGGAAATGTATGTGTTTGCAAGGTCTCACAATCCAGTCATTGTAAGGTTAACTTGTTTACCTTGTATGCTATTATTTAGACTGACCTGGAAGGGAAACCTGGCAGACAGCCAATGTAGAGAAAGCCCACAAATCTGAGTGTTTTTACAAACAATGATTGGTTAGTGTTTTCAGGTGACTTCTTTCTAGGGGTCGAGAAGAAGGAGAGATTCTCCATTACTGTTTAGAAGTTCTGTAACCATGCTTTGAGAAGTAAGATGTTAGAAATGTAGCTGTTAGATATGTTTATTATTTTATAGGCTTCCTGTGTACCTTTACCCTTAGAAATAAAGTTTTTAAATCAGAAAGAAAAGTCTCCTCATTCAGTGAAGAAAGATCTATCGCAACCTCTGAATATTTAAGCATTTTTACTATTATTACCAACAAGATGCTCCCTGCAAAATGTCCTCCAAACATAATAAAAGACTGCCTCTGTAGTTTCTTCATATACTTCCTCTACTCACCTTCAGGACCTCCTGGGCAGCTACCGCTCCAAAGAAGGCAGTAATAGGATTCAGGTCAGCAGTACATCCATATGCAAATGTCCGTACCAGATCGTCAGCCAGTGGCTCCTGAACTGTAGCTAGTGTCCATGCTAGCTTCACCATGTCCTCTGCATCTGCCTGCCAATAAATATTGATAGATGAGTCTGGGCAAGATATCTTGCTAAGGACAACCATAAAGGTTATTTGAAGGAATAACGTAATTTGCAGGAGGAAGCAACATTCTGTAGAAAAGCTCAGGGTCTGAGGAAATGGTGCAAAGTGGAAAAAGGACATGAGTTGCCAGAGAGGGGGGGGGGTCGTCTAGAGAATCTTGCCTGATTCCGAGGCTTAGGCAGTCGCTTCATTTTGCTCTGGAATAAATGGAGTGCCCAGAAGGCCATGTGAAGAGTGTGATAGCGAGACATTTTCCCTGCATCAGGAGTCTTGATCTTGGGACTTCTCATGGAGACACGCAAGGAATCCTGGCAATACAAAGATAAATGAACAGAAGTACCTAGCTCATGCCCCTTCCTATAAGGAAGCAATCTCAGGAACACTGAATTCCTTCCTCTATTCCATAGTTTTCTGTAACTGGTCCTTATCTCAGATAACCAGGCTGAGGCTCTAGAACATATTTCCAATTAGCCTTTCCTGTGAAGTGGAGTTCTAGGCCTCAGGTGATTCGTCCAGCTAAAAAGCACTGTCAGAATGGTAAGACTACTCAGGCCCCATCAGGCCCTGTGTGAAGGCCTGAATCCTCTATGAAGTAGCTTGAAAGGGATAACCTTGTTTTCCCAGCCCCTGAAATCCCTCATGTTTTGAAACTAGTACATACAAACGAGTGCTGTTGAGGCATCTTGACTTGGGTGACGATCCCACCACTTTTATATGGAGAAAAGGAAGATGTGTCTCCAATTTCCAAGCTGTACTGTCCTAGATAAAGAGCACAAAAAGAATATGATCCCATTGTGTTTTCTGAGTAGGTCAACAGGACTGGAGTTAAATAAAAGCAAACAATCCATTTGCTACTAATGCAGCCTTCGCAACACAGGTCTCCCTATTTTGTCTGAAGTCATCTTCATCTACCATACATATTAATCTCTCCTGAAATCCTCCAGCATCCATCTGATATGAAAATAATGATGAAGCCTTCTGTACACATAGTACCCAACCATCTTTTTGTCAACGTCTTCCTTCATAAACCATTCCTTCCTATTATTGCCCTATTCCCCTCATCACACTTTCTTCTGTGAGCTGACATGAACTACCCATGCAGATATGTGGAAAAGGAAGTCGAGATCACATTACCAGCCACATGGATTGGATGGGGCTCAAGGGTGTTAAGTTCAGTCATCCCTTCCACCTCTTTGAATGTCACCCAGTCGCCATTCTCAAACTGATGCCCTCGTCCCTGCTCATTCTCGGAGGCCACGGTCAACACGCCAGGGTAACCCTTTGAAGAAAAGATACAGGGGGAAATGTTTACTCCTGGATCAAAAGCTAATGGTCTTCATGGAAATATATAGACTGGAAGTGGGACATGGGCAGGACAACAAAAGTCACTAGGTGCCGCCAGAGGAACGTAACTACCTGGGTTATGTGCTGAATGACAGCAGAAACAGGTTCAGCCTCAGAAGCATCATATACCACAAAGTGTTCTCCAAAATCACAGAAGAGCTGCCTAGAGTTTGGAGGAAAGGCAAAAGAGGTCATACGGCTTTCCCATAGGGGGTGCACTCTATTACCGCATCCTGCTCAAGCTGCCCCTTCACTATCATGAAAAGCCTCTTTTCACAGAGGCCCTCCCACCCTACGGTGTCCCCCAGTACTACACGGAATGCATATATGAGAGTTTCTCTCTACCGGGCTATTACTCCACCCACCATTGAAATACCCCTTCCTGGCACAAGACAGCACTCACTTAGCACATACCCAGCCAGGCCCTTTGTGTCAGCAAGGACAAAGCAAATGTTGTTGGCATGGCAAAAATCACTGATACGCAGCTGCTCCTCCAAGGGGGAGTTGGTCAGGACCACCACCTGCAGTGAAAGTTGTAGTTTAGTGCTGGATGGGGTGAGGCTGGATGCAAGGGCCATCTACTCACAGACAGCCACAAGAAACAGCACAGCAGAGGCACTTCCCAAACAGCTGCTCGGTATACATCCAGTATCAGACAAAGCAAGCCATGGCCGTGGCTATCCCATCCTCCTGTGCTGCTGGTGGCTGGGAGCAAGCTGAGTCTTCGCAGCATGGTTTTGGCTTGGATCCAGCTTCTGGCGAAACAGATCCAGGAGGTGCTGACAGGCAGGGGGTGCAGCCATTACCTCCTCCCACACCACCAGCAGCCACAAGAAAGCTGAGCCCCTGCGGCACATCAGCACCCTCCTCATTGTGTTGCCTCTACCAACCGCTTGGGTGGGCTTGGGTGGAGAACCAGCCGTGACACCACAGAGCATAACACAGCTAGTCCAGCCCTCCACTGCCACGTGTGCTGAGTAGTCAGATTTTGACTCGGTGTTTCGGGTGCAGCTTTAGAACAGAATAGTTACTAGCTCTGAAGGATAACTAATCCTCGTACTGCCACTGACAAAACACTTGGCCACAGGCCTATAGCTTTGTTTGCAACTGCGGTGCAAGAAGCAGAAGCCGCCTTACTGGGCTTGGATAAAGTCCTGTGTAAACACCAGAAACTGGAAGAAGTTCCTCCAGCCTTAGAAACCTTTCTCTACCTTCATTTGGATGAAGGTGGAAGAAGGTTCTTTAGGCTGGAGGAAGACCTCAACATTTTCTAAGTGCAGCACTAGGGATGCATGCTACTGTGATGCCCTTCAGAAGAGTCACCAAAACGGCTTCCTCTCTTCCATTGTAGGATGATGTATGGCATGAAACACACAGCTCTGTCCCTACCTGGAAGGCAGACAAGAAGCACTCAGACAGCCCTTGAGTATAGGCCAGCACAGGCACATAGCGGTTCAGTTCTTTAAGACGGTGCTGTGAAACCACAGCTCGATTCTGCCCCACATCTTCTTCGGACAGGAAGAACTGAAGAGAGACAGCAATGTTTAGAAGTGGGGTGAATCTATGGTGCTGTTACAGGCATGCCTGACACCATTTCACAGCAGAGGAAAAGTAAGAAATTTACTCTTTGTTGCTTGTCCTCTTCCCAGACTCAGTACGTTGCCTGAGGTCAGACACAAGATTTGGCTGATAGTTCCATTCCCAGACTTTATGCACCATCGAAGATATTAAAAACAGGGTGTGCCAATTGCTGAACCAGCAGAATATTGCCAGGGTTGTTTACATTCTTTGATTGCACCATGAAAGTGTGAAATTTGGTACTGGGAGTAGTAAGCAGCATCCTGAATTTATCAGCATTCATTTACTTTATAAAAACAGTTTCTGTCCCTTGTGACTGAAAAGATAGGCTTGATAATATGTGGGCAATGCAATGCCTGAGGAAATCTCAGAAGTCAAAGTGGAGCATGGCAGTGATCAGGAGGCTTGACTTCCGTAACCTGCAGTGCCCTCCTAAGCAAAGTTGCAGCCGTTTCAGTGAACTGGGATCCATCATGAGTTTGGAAAGGAGTCGTTCTGCTCTGGACTGCACAGCTGTTATATAGGTTTTACCACCTCCCATAGCTAGAAGAAACAGAAGTATGCATAGTATTGTTACATAGTTTGTTATTAATAGGATAATGTGTTAATTTATCCAGATCCATTTCAAAATACTCTTAGCAGCGAATACATGTTCTTAACACTGGCATTGCAAAAACACTGCTCTGGTTAATGAAGACGGGTTATATATAGAAGGTATTGTTAAAAATGAGAGTACCAGGTTATGAATTTGAAGATGACCCATTAAGAAATTTAGGGTCCAATATGATAGCTAAAAAAAACCCCACTTGCAAAGTGCTGAAGTATTACCTAACTACATAAGAAGACAGAAACTCCTGAAATGTTAATTAAATCAGCAGGCTATCACATGACAGCTTTGAAGGGGGAGGGATATGTGCCGCATTGCGGAGGAGGCAGTGATTTCACTCACTTTCCACACTTTGTGGTGGGGTGTTTTGTTTTTGGTTGCTAATGAGCTGAACTGGTGGCATATTACCATTTCATTTAGACTATTTTTAATAGCAATATAAACTGACTCATCAGACTTCACAAATTGTGCAACCTCATTTGAATTTATGGCCTAGATTACATCATAGCTCATGAAAGCAGCTAAACTATGAACAGTTATTAGTAACTGTTGTCCAACAGTAGCAGAACAGAATAAGAGCCATGCTGGATCAGACCAATGGTTCATCTAGTCTAGCATCCTGTCTCTCACAGTGGCTAACCAGTTGCCCTGGGAGGCCCAACAACAGGGCATAGTGGCCAAGGCTTTCTCTTGATGTTGCCTCCTGCCACTGGGATTCAGAGCTTGACTGCCTCTGAATATGGAGGTTCCCCTCAGTCACTATGGCTATAAAGGCAATAGGACCAGTCAAGATGACTTGTTATGATGTAACTGGAGATCTTGGAACACGAAATATGTCTGAAGTATAATTTGTATAAATTAACAAAATGCAGGCTTTCTTGGTACAGATTAAGGATTTTAAAAAGGTGTGTGTGGGGGGGGGACCCAAAATGTATATTACCTTAAAGCATACATTAAGAAAGTGGAAAGAAGGAACAGTACCCCTACAGCCTTTGTGAGGCAAAATATGAGAGATCCCCCCCTCCAGGATGTGGGTATAGTGCCAATAGAGGATGGGGGCTTTGCCACATGCCTGGCACTTGTGCTCCCACAAGCATACCTGTGAGGAGAGGTCACTCCACTGAGCATCATGCTGGTCATGGACAGTGACAGATTTCACTCCTGCAAGAACGATGTTCTTGGCGATCTCCACACCTAGCCCCTTCATGCCAGAGACCAGCACAGCAGCTGTAGCTATCTTCTGCATGGCCTCATAGCCCAGAACATAGCTAGAAAAAGGCACACCAGAAGAGAACCTGATTTTGTAATATGGCACATGCTTTCATTTTTTAAAAAAACATTTTTATTTTACTGTTTAAGGGGATACAAAATGAAAAAGGAGAAAGGGAAAGGTGAAGGTGAAGCATAAAACATTTGTTAAACACATTTTAAGGACATTACATAATAAAGGAATATAAGACATGAAAGAGTATGTTCGCAAAAGACTATCATAATAAATCAAAATATAGTAAAACAATCAATACTTCAACATAATATATTTCCATGTATATTTCCATTATTTCCTATCTGTAGCGCTAGGTAGGAAAACAAACAAACAAGAAACATAAAAGGTTAATACTATCATGTAATAACTAGTAAATATGTAACTATAAAAGATTAATGATATAAGTACGAGAATATAATTATATGGTTTAGAGTATAAATCAATTTCAGTTTCTTTATAACTCCTCTATCAGCGTCTAATCTATGTAGTTTGTCTGTAGTAATTATAAAAGGCTCTCCACTTATTCTCAAATTCAGTGATTGGTTTTTTGTTTATATAGTTCGTCATTTTCGAAATATGGCATATGCTTTCTCCAAACTTTACACCCACTTTTTCCCTGTGATTTTGTTGCCTAACATGGTTTTCCTGCCCTCATGCCATATCAGAGCCCAACATGCCCCTTAGTCTCATCTTTAACTGTCACATAGTGCAATCCTAAACCATGTATTGAGAGGGCTTAGGATGGTGACTAAGCCTATGGTGCAAAATCCTGGAGATACTCTGTAGCCAGCCCCACCAGCATCACGCCAATGCCACACCAATGTGACCATTATGCCTGTGTAGAACTGTGTAGAACTCTCCCTTTTCTCTCCCTTTCCCAGCATCTCTCTCTCCCTTTTCTCCTCAGAACTCCCCCCCCCCAAGGACTCTTCTATGGTTCTCTCTCAGGGCCAAATACCTTTCCCCCAAATTCCAATAAACGGCCATACCCACAGGGTTTTGTAAGCATGTTATCATGGCCAATGTTGGGCACAGAATACAGTGTTTCCCTTGCCTGGTGCTTCCATGTCCTACATTGACTAGGATCTGAACCCTTGACAGAAGCACTCTGTAGTGGTTGCCCTCGATGAGCTATGGGAGTGTAGGAATGCTGTGCTGGATTAAAGGGTTGCCAGAAAAATTGAGGAAAATATCCTGTCCCATTAACAGAGACTTAATAAGGTGTTATTTACCAGGTGGTTATTTACCTCCATGCACTGAAAAGCTTCAACTGCTGATTTCTATACACTAAGCCTCTGTTAATGGGACCTTCGGCATGCAAAGTAGATATCTTCCACTGTGCCATGGCCCTTCCCTGTGGGTGGCAGCTGTGTGATATCAAGGGGCTGTGGCTATATCAGTGAGTGGCAGTTGACTGCATCCAAGATTGCCACTTACGGGAGCATTGGCACTGGCAGTACACTGCTTTGTGATTGGTGGATGTTGTTGGGGTTGCTATAGACTCTGGTTTACTCATCATGCAGTCAGATACTTGTCAAAGGGTGCTTGTGTCATTTATTTCTCCTCTAGGGAATGGTCATATGATACTGAATAGCAGCACCACATTGTGAGTGCACCACCAGTACCAGGGTCTTAGGGCAGGGCTTCCTTTCTCCCAGCCTTCCTCCAAAATAATATATCTTCCTGTAGTGAATCTGTCTGCCCTGGCCCCTAGAACCATTACCCTATTAGTCCATCTAGGTGTTTTTTTTAGTTTCAAAACTTTATTGAAATTGATAAACAAGTACAGATTAAACAAAGAAGTAATTTCAACAATCAGTTATAAATAAGCAATTGTAACAGTAGTATAACCAAGAGTAAACTACATCGAAGGAAGAAAGATGTAACATATGCTGCTTTAGAACTAACAGAGGTCAATCAAACCAATACACAACGTTTATAGCTTCAAGAATAGATTAAAATTCCTTTTGTTTAGCTAGCATACCTCTGCCAGCACATTTTTAATCACAAAACTCACAGTTGGCGCGAGTACAGTCCTTCGTCGATCTCTGGAAGGTTCTCTGAGGTGCTCATTTTGCTCCTATCCATCAGACAGAAGGGAATCAGTAAATTCCTTAAGGCAAACTTCTTCCCCTTTTTCTTGTTAAGGATTTAGGAGGCCATTTAAGCTCCAAGGCTAGACTCTGACTTTTTATCATATCCCATTTGTAAATATATCAAGTTACCGCTTGTCCTTTTAAAGTACACCCTGTGGGTAGTGTGGAAGTTTCATAAATCCACATTACACATTGCCTCCATATGACACGCTGCTGCTTTAACCCCAACCACCATATAGGACACTGTTCATTATTTTGTCTGAGCATGTCCACCTTTCTGTTTCTCTCTCTTCCTCCTTTTTCTTTTACCCTCTCCTTAAAAAATTGCTTTAAAAGACAGCTGTAAATGGCAAACGTACAATTGAAGTGAACCACCATAGATTTGGGTGCCAGCTTGTCAGCTGAAGACCAGTGTTTTGGATTTTGCTGGGAATCTCATTTCTAAAAGGATGACTTGAAAACAGAGAGTTGCCACCTGGGGTCTTTGGTGCATACATGTACAATTCAATTATGTTCTACTAAGAATAAGGCCCATTGTGGAAATAAATACAATGAGCTCTAAGAAAGAGGCTCTGGGTGGGTGCCCTGACCTTGAGCACTCAGCATCAATTTCCTGTGGCAACCTCAGCAGGGTATAATGACACATAGTCCACCGTTTTCTCCAGAGGGACTGATCTCTGCCATCTGAAGAGCAGTTGTAATCTTCAGCCCTCATCTGGAGATTGGCAACAATAGTTCCCCAGAAGGAACTGGCTGGTTTGGAGGATGGACTCTATGGCATTCTATTCAGCTGAGACCTCTCCCCTCCTCTAACTCTGGCTTCTGTAGACTCCACCGTAAAATCTCCAGGAATTTCCCGACCTGGAGCTGGCAATCCTAGTCAGGACTGGCCCCAATGAGTTCCCCACAAAGGCCAAAGTAGGCCTGGATTGGGCCTCTTGCCTTTTCCTTTTTACTGACAGAACCAAGCTTGGTTGCCTAGCAACAGCCACTGAGGGAAAAGTTAGCCCCACAGGAGCCAAGCAGGAGAAGCATCTTCATCAGGAGAGACAGCCGTTTTGGCCATTTATTCTGTCAGGGAAGTGGCCAGGCTGGCAGTGGGCGAGTGAGAAAATCAGACCTAGCACCCAACCAATGGCACATGAGAACTCTTGAGTGGCAGCTGATGGGCCAATGGCTGATGGAGCACACAGCAGAGCCAATGGGAGAGCTGGAAAGTGCCAATACATTAGGGCTTTTATATATATCAGATTCTATCTGAGCATTGAATGAACCCATTACATATCTCAAGCAATCCACACCTTAGCTTAGCACTCACCTGACTAGACAACAAGAAAATAACCCTAAAAACCCAACAGAAAGGTGCACAGCTAACTGGGGATAGGACCCTAAAGTACACTGTATTTAAATAGTTACCAACCTCCAGGTGGCACCTGGAGATCTCCCACGATTACAGCTGATCTCCAGATGACCAAGATCAGTTTCCCTGGATAAAATGACTACTTCGGAGGGCGGACTCTATGGCATTATACTCTGCTGAACTCTCTCCCCTCCTCCACACCCCCTCCTCAGGCTCCACCCACAAAATTTCCAGGTATTTCCCATCTTCCGGTCGACGGAACAGCGATGGCGGACGCTCTCCTCACAACGGAGGAGGGCAAATCGCACACCAGCGGTCTGGAGAGGTGCCACCTCAAGTGACACCCCCGTGGAGCCTTTGTGATAGGCTCCAGGCCAGGGGGCTTTTGAGGGGTAGCCTCTTCAATAGCGTAATGCTGGAGAATTAAGGCTCCACTCCGCCCCGATGGTCCAGTCACTGAGTGGCCTTCGGGCACAAGCTGGACTGACCGGGACAAGCGCCGGAGATCAAGCGGAATGGCGTAAAACTGAGCGTGGTCAGATAAACTGGCCGATAATGAATGTGAGTTTTAAATAAAACGGAGTAGTTTGAAAAGCGATCCCCCCCCCGCAATCGGAAACAGAGATTGAAAACAGGGACGCCTCTTTTGAGAATGAGTGGTTAACGGACACGAAGGGGGAGAGGGGAGGAAGTAAACCAAAAGTGTTTTGAGAAATTTATCTGAATTGCGAAGTCCTTTGGCAAGTTTTCCAAGTTATGTGGGAGCGGTAGAAACTGTAAACAAAACGGGAAAGATGGCGGTCCAGCAGAGAAAGTTTAAAACAAAACCGGGCAGTCAGAGTCCGAGACCGGAAGAGGGAGCAGATGTCCTCAAACTCCTGGCGGATATGCTTAAGCCGGTGATGGAACAACTCGATGGTATTAACCAGCAATTGACTGTGATGAATAAAAATTTTGCAGCACAGCAGCTCCAGCTTAAAACAGAGAAAAAAGTGGAGCAGGCAAATGAGAAAATTAAAGAGATAGACACCACAAGCAAGAAGTTGAAGAAAAGGATGGGAGAGGTGGAAACGAAGCAGAATTGCCAAGAGAACCGAGTCTTACAGCTAAATAACACCGGATGAACTTGTAAATGAAATGGAGGTAGCCTATAGGGCATACTCCAATTACATTAAAAAAAATAGCCTACCTGGAGAAATAGTGGTCAAGTTTGCAAGAAGACAAACTAGGGACACCATTTTAAAAGCAACTTCAGCAACTCCACTGAAAATGGGAAATGTAACCATCAAAACTTTAAAGGACATTCCATTTGAAATTAGACAAAAGAGGAAAAATTACAAGGACCTAATTTCTTTTCTTCAAACAAATGGGATATCGTACAGATGGGCAGTTCCGGAAGGTGTCATCTTTAAGATCAACGATAGTGGGAAGCAGTAGTCTCTCAGGGTTCATAGGAGACTTCCAGACAATACATCCTCCTCCTGCACATCTGTAGCAATAAGCATTTCAGCACAGGCAGAACAGCAGAGATAGGAATGCAATAGCAACTACCAAGACACAGAATGAACTCCCCAACCCCCATGGCAGCATAGCTGACAATGGCCTTTTGAAGAGAAGAATAGAAGATGATCAGAGATTTCTCTCATAACAACTAATAAAATAACATATGAACAGTGAACTGTTATAAGCAAGAACTCTACAAGTATATTGTGATATTAACACTAACAGTACTAACAGTGAAAGCATCTCCTCCTCTTGGGGTTTTAGTTTAGTGTGGTTTGCTTTCCTTTCTCCTTAGTTGTAGTCCCTTTCCTAATATTTCTTTGTAGTTTTGCAAAATAAAAAATATCCCTCCGGGGACTTAAAAAATAATAATCCAGGTATTTCCCAACCCGTAGCTGGCAACCCTATATCTGAATTCAACATGTGGAATGGCATAAATGCCAACAAGAGGCACAGTACCCACAAGCAGGATAGCCCCATAGAGCGTCAGCCCCAAGGTCTGTCTGAAGATGTGTAAATCTTCTGACTCTTTCCTGCAGGGGGGAATTAAAAATCTTACCTAAGCTGAGAGCTGCCTCCGCTATCTGTTCTATCCAATACGTACTTGTGATGCCAAGAACACCACAGCGCTAAGGATTCGCTAGAAAACACCCGGGTTTTCGTTCCCTGGTAAACGAAAGTGAAACTAAAGGACAATAGGTAGGCGGACGCGCAACTCCGTTTCTGCAACTCTGTGTACAAGTAAACGCGTTTGAGAGAGCTGCTCAATAACCATTGCCCGCACGACACACACGGTTATTTTTGCTATGTTCCGCTACGAACTTAGCTAAACGAATTCTGCGGCTTTTTTTTCCGGGTAGCACACAAAACCCAGTTCGCGGCACCTGCTCCTCAAAACCCGCAGTATAGGGTTTTTGTCTGAAGAAGTGTGTTTTGCACACGAAAGCTTACACTTTGACTAAAACTTTGTTGGTCTTGACTCATATTTGTTCTCCCGCCCCATAGGATATAACTTTAGGTACAGCCTTGCTGAGGGGGCGGGGGCCGTCTCTTCAGGGCTCTGATTGCCATTAGAAGCCTGCTCCACTCTCCCAGCCTACAACCGAACGCCTCCTGCCGGTTGCTGCGGGTGTGCGCGCGTCCCCACAGTCGGAAAGGCTAAAGAAGCCTTTGGACGCGTCGTCAGACATCCTCAGGAAAACGAACGTCGACATTTTAATAGGGTTGGTGCTGAGTGGGACAAGCTGTCACGCGGGCAGTCCTGGGCAAACTGCGCAAGTCAATCGTGTGCAGATTTACTCGAGTCCCTTTTTAATTAAATGATTGCCATTAGAAGCGTGCTCCACTCTCCCAGCCTACAACCAAACGCCTCCTGCCGGTTGCTGCGGGTGCGCGCGCGTCCCCACAGTCGGAAAGGCTAGAGAAGCCTTTGGACGTGTCGTCAGAAATCCTCAGGAAAACGAACGTCGACATTTTAATAGGCTTCGTGCTGAGTGAGACAAGCTGTCACGCGGGCAGTCCTGGGCAAACTGCGCAATTCAATCGTGTGCAGATTTACTCGAGGATGTGGCTGAATGCAGTGGGCATCACTTCAGAGTAAATACTCTTTAGGCTGCGTTGGGAATTGACTGTCCGGCATGAACTTTTGGTCGAGAGGTGGGGGTATTTAAATAACAAGCCGGCGGCAGACTGGAGGGAAACGCGGCTGTGGGGGCGGGGCTTGCGTTTCCTTGCGCGCATGCGCCGCCGTGCGATTTCCCTGCGCCTGCCTCCTTGTTTGCGCAGCAGGAGTTCTAGAGGGGCCGGCCGGGCAGAGCTCCCGCTTCCCTCCCCTTGCGCGGGGTCCGGGTGGGGAGGATGGCGGCTGCTGCCGGTGAGTGGGAGGCTCCGTCGCGGGCGCTGAGGGCGCTGACCTGGCTCGGGCAAGAGTTCATGTCGGACTGGGAAGCCCAGGACTTGCGGGCCGCCCTCTTCCAGCTGCTCTTGCTCTGGCTGCTTGTGAGCTTGCTGGGTATCCAGGTGGCCTGGCGAGTCTATGGGAATACTGTCACCGGCCTCTACTACCGGCAAGGTAAGCCTCTCTTCTCGCTCGGTGCTCTGCTCCGCCACTCTTCTCCCGACCGTGGAGCCGGCTGTACGCATACAGGGTGGTCTTGGCATTGTCTCTCTCTTACCGCTGGCATCTGTTTGCATTGTCTTTCCTGCCTCCTCCTCTGTATTCTCAGTCCTGTTCGTGTCTCTCAAAGCCTTCAGGCCTCGGCCTCTGTTTTATAGTAGTAAATCTGGAGCCTGTCTTCTGCCAGAGATCAGTGGCTGGAGTCCTAAACTAAATAAAGTATTAACTGGCCAGAGGCAGGTGGCTGTGGAAGCAGGGTTGAGTCTTGATGTTGACTTATGCCTTTGGTGGCAGTTCACTTTGGAAGATGGGGGCAGGCCGGCCCTCATTGTTTCTGTGCTTTTCATAAAACTAGTTGCTGCTGTCCTGACCTGGGTCGCTCAGGCAAGCCTGATCTCGTCAGATCAGGGAAGCTAAGCAGGGCTGATTCTGACAAGTACTTGGGAAGGCGACCTCCAAGGAATACCAGGGCTGGGACACACAATGCCCTAGCACTACTAGGGGTCGCCAGAAGTCACCATAACTTCCAGGCTCGCAAACACGCACACACACACACACGATCCTCACCAGAAAAAGAAAACTAGTTGCTGCCTTGGGCTGTACTTTCTGTTGTCAGGCCCTGTTGACTTTGATGCCTTGACCTTGTTGGACTGAACAGCCAGCACAATGCAAAATAATTCTCCACTCCCTAATCTCACCCCTGTCCAAGACTACGCAGTAGTCTGGTACTGGGTTAGGTAGGTGTTGCAATGGCAGCTGTTTCCATAGTGACATTGTGAGTAAACATCTTTTGAGAGTGAAGCATCTTTAAAGAAAGCTAATTTGCAGTACAATCTAGACTGGAATAGCTCTGCAGGGGAAGGTACTGTTGGAGTAGCCATGTCAGACAGGGGAGACCTGGGTTCAGATCCCCCACATAACTATGAAGCTTATGGATTGACCTTGAGCCTGTTTGTCTGTCTCTCTCTCTGCCTTGCTGGGTTTTTGCAAGAGGAAAAGTTGAAAAGAGAGCCTTATGTGTTGCCCTGTGATAGGTTAGACTAGCTTTTGAAACTTGGTGCTTGCCAAGCCTCTCTCGTGTGTTCTGCTTTTATAATATTTTTTCATGACATTCTTGGGGTCACTTAACTGAATACATTGGGGACTGAACTCTACTAAAGCAAGACAAAGTATCTGCTCTGCCACTGAGCCACAGCCCCCTTTATGGCCCTTCTCCTTCTGTGCATGAATTGTACATCAGAGTCAACAGAATCCAAATGAGACATCAAGGGATCTGCATCTGCTGAACTTTTTCTCCTTTGGATACCTAATTTCCTGAAAGCTGAGATATTTGATGTTGTTGCCTGAGGACCGGAAAGATTATTCAGCCTTGCTGGAATGGTGCCTAAGAACAGTGAGTCCTTGAAAGGCTAACTGATTAACTTTGGCGTGAACCAAGACTACTTTCTAATGACACCACTGACTGCTATGGGCCAAACTAGACGTGAAGGCATCCTTAAAATTCTGGCCCACTGACATCAGCCCAACAGAATGTGTCATATTGCAGGAATCAGGCAATGTTTCGGGGTGGGAGACCAGAAGTACCTTCTGCCGCAGTTGGTGCTGTCTAATGTTTCGGATTTGATGTTAGTTACTTTGATTAACATTAGTAGGATTGTTGAGGCCTAGGTTTTTAAGCATCTAGAATGACTTGCTTAGTGTTACTGATACCAGGACACAACATGCTATTTGTAAAGATTTTTAATTATGTCTTGATGGCAGCCATACTAGTGACAGCTAGACACTAGAAAACAGAAGCCCTCCTCTAGAAAAGCCAGTGACCTAACAAAGTCAGGCGTGTCTTAGCCATGGAAAACCTATCCACTGGATTAAGCTGGGTTGACTAGTCCATCTGATTTCTTAACGGCTTGTTTCCTTTTCCTGCAGTCTGTCGTGATCTGTCTCAGGCCCTGTAAATATTTTTTTTACCAACTCATATTTAGAAAGGATTTTGATACTTTCTTCTATTAAGTATCAAAACCCCTTAATACAACAATTCACAATCCTTAAAGTGCACAGTTCAGCTCTATTATTTGATTTCAACTTGGGAGAGCTCCTGGGGGTTGTATTGTTACGTTTAATTGTTTTGTTATTTCTTAATGCTTCTTACTTAAAGAATAAAAATAGTTTAAAATGGTAGTTTAAAATGGTTTGTGTGGAAATACCTTACCTCTCATTTTCTGTCAGCTACATAACAGTAGTGTCTTCATTTTTTTGTTTTTAAGATTATTGGGTCTAAAAGTGATCAAGAATATATATGGCCATTTTATTTCTTTCAATCACATTAGTTTCCAGATAAATCATCCTGTAATTTCTGGGACTAATGTTTTAGTTGAGCACATAGGAGGCTTTCTTTTTTTTTTTTTGGATTACTGAGATCCTCTCTCAGATGCCTTTCTACAGTTTGTTTATATAAAATATTTTCCAAAGGATCCAAAGTTCCCAGTTTCCTAGTTTTTGGGCATTATTTGCTGCCTTATATTCCAACCTCAGCACAAGCATTGTCTGCTTGGTTATACTGATTTGTTATAATGCATCACTCTTCTGAAAAGTTCCTCTAAATTGGAGTGATCAAAGAGACTGTGAGAGGAACAGGCTTGTTCAGTATCCCAAAGAGGAATGGAAGCTGTGCAAAAAATAGGTGCTAAATAAGCGTTACTGCAGAACTCACTTTAGGAAGAAATCTTTCATCTGACCCAATCATTTGCTGATAGCTGCCAAAATTTTCCTATCAGAATAGCCTTTTGTGCTACATTTGACCAGTCTATTCTGAAGGACAGAGAGAAATCCAGGGGCAGTTGCTGTCTCCCTCCCCAGTCGGTGAGTTGTGCGGCAATATTAAATAGAATTAAAGTTATTTTTCCCTATTCCATTTTTTTTCCTTAATCCCATTGTGAGAAACTTTGGTAGTTCTTCCCGGAGTGGAACAGTTTCAGAGGAAACGTTTGCCTGACTGTTTTCTATTCCTCTCCAGGTCCTGGAGGACAGAATGGAGGAACACCAGATGGATCCTCCCACTTCTCAATGTGGTGAGTGTCTTAGACTGCTGACTTGGAGCACCCCCCCCCTCCCCGTGGTGAAATCAGTGACAGTCTGGATATCTCATGCTGGAGAAAGCGGGATGATTTCTCTCAGAAGCCTCTGATTTACTAATGTGTTGTATCTGATTTTCCTTAGGGAGAGCGTAAGAAATGAAACTATGAAAACTCATCGGGAATGACGATAGGAGCTGACAAAACCAAACTGTTGCAAAACCAGGAGCACAGAGGATGCCTGTCGGGCCAGAGGCCTTGGCCCTTAAGGGCTGAGGAAATTGCAGCCGTACTTGCCCTTTCTCCTGCCCTGTGGCCTGGCTGCTGGCCGACACTGGTGCTGTAAGGATTGCTCACCTGTGACCACTCCTGTCCATCCTGTTATCAAGTGTGGAGTGTCTCAGGGTTGCTCTGCTCAGGTTGGGGAAGCTAACGTTTCCCTCCTTTAGGTTGTTTGCATTCTTCCTTTTACTATAGTGCTAATCATTTTGCAAACCATCCTTGGGTCTCTGTTTAGTGTCAAGCTAAGCCCATTGGGTTGGTTGGGCCCCACTTTTCTTTCTGCAGTTGCGTTTTGATTTCTCTTGGCTTGAAACAACCTCAGCTCAAATGGGAAGCAAATTTCAAGGATGAGAAGAACACTGATGTTGCGGAAAGCCCCAGATTTTAGTTTACAGGTTAAGCCATCCTTGCAAGTATCAGATAAGTCTTTGGGATGCTGTGGTGGCCTAGTCCAAGAAATTTGAAATCTTTCCTGTTTCTCTGCCGCAATCAGTCTTTGCACGGTGTGTCTCCACTGCGATCATTGAGCTCACCAGCTTCCACAGATGTTCGCTTTCCAAAGCATAGTTCTTGGTGCTCATGCCCTGGAGGAGTAATGTAGGATGTGCTCTGCAGCTGTGTGGTATTAGAGGTGCTGACGTGTCACTTCATTCTGCCAACTGCTCCCTCCTGGTTGGTTGTGTATAATGTACAGATTATAAAGACATAATGGACAAAGCAAACCATGCGTTTCTTATTGCAGTTGCTGATGCTGTTAGTACTTCATGAACGCTTCTAGACATGAAGTCACTTAAGCATAGGCTCCTTTCTAGGCATTTTTCACAGCCCAAAGTAGCACCTTCAAGTTCTACCTTGTGAATTTTCTAGACCAAAAAGAAATGGGGGGATTCATCTAAGCTGAAGAATTGCTGAGAATGCTGCTTCTTTCAAATTCTGGATTGCCAATTCAGTGTTTCTAGAACAGGACCTCTTTAGAAAAACAGTTGTCTGCCTTAGGTAAAAAGGAATTTGTGTGCCTAATCAGAAAGAAGAGAATGAAACTAGCCAAGAAGTCACTTAGTGCAGTGAATGAAGCCAAGTCCATTCTTGGCCTGCCCGTATCTCAGATCTTGTTTGTAGGTCAGCATCCTCTTTGAGACTAGAAGTCCTGTTACCAATAATGTAAGTTTCATATTGATATTTGTTTGAGATGGTGGAACTGTGAATGGTGGACTCCAGTTTCTTACAGGGACCACCTGGAGACGATATCTCACATCTTTTACCCAAGGGAATAAAAGCTGGGATCAAAAGAAACATGTTTGTTAAGGTCGCCATGACTTCCAGGCATGGGCATGGGCGCACACACGAACCCCAATAGCTCTGATGCTGACACATATCAAGGGGACAAACCAGTGAGATTACTTCTTCCTCCTGTAAGAGCAGGAACAATCAGCAAGGCTGTCAAATTTACTAGCTGAACACAGATCAGATCAGGGCATATTGCCTATGACTGCATTTCAAATAACTAGACGGCAGCAGAGAAGTTCAGGGCACTTTTTATTTTTTCATTAAATTACAGAAACCAGTCCAGAACTAGGCAGGCTCTGTGCAGGGACTGGGGCAGCTCCAGTTATTGCTATGTCAGTGCTAGTTTAAAGGAGCAAGCCACCTGGGACTAGTCTATGCTGTCCTTTTTAGTTACTAAGGCAGTTTCTTCAGCAGTTGAAGCTGATCTTCCTCTTTCTTTATTGATTGGTTTTAGCAGCTACCATTCCTAAAGGATGTGTCCATGGCCCTCTGCTTCCCTATAGGTTGACAGAGTACAAAAAAGAATCTGTGCCAGCAGTTACTCATTTCACTGTGTAGTAGTGGGTGGGTACAAAGGGCATCTTGGTCACTTGAGCTGGGTAGCTCTTCTTCCTCACTTCTACCATGATGGCTGTATTCAGTTTGCTGTGTTCACTCTCCACGTAGCCCATGGCAATGTTCTTCTGCAGACAGGGTGAGGGACAGCCACTGGTAACCTCACCTTGTACAAGAAGGAAAGGCAGATTAATGAGAAACATATAACCTCTACCAAATTTCTATAAGTAGGGAAACTCACCGCCCTTAATGGCCCTAGCTTTGCTTGAGTGTGACCTTGTAGCTATAGACTGAGTAGTTTGATAACCTATGGAAGGGATGCACAGTCAAGCAGTTGGCGGCTGCTCTTGGTATCCAGCAGAGTTCTTCAAATGTTATTTGCAATAGCTGAACTGCTAGGATGTGCTGCATTAGAAGTTGACTAGGAGCTACTTTGAAACAATTAAAATTCTAAAATACCAGAAGCGCTTTAAAGACAAAATTGATTCAGCATAAATGTTTCATAAACTTGTGTACTTGATATGTTCATAAAGCTCACTGGGCGATCTTGGGACAGTTATTCTCATTGAAGCTGGAATGAATTTTGTTAGTCTCTAAGGTGCCACTGGACTTTCAGGCACTCACCCAGAGTAACCGGGGTGGGGGACCATTCAGAACTGCTGTTCTACCTACCAATGATTTTGTCTTCTGGACCAAGGATTGGCATGTGCTGACGGATAGGAGGCCCCGTGGAAATCAGTCCTACACGTTTCCTCTTTGGCTTTTCTTTGATTTGAGCCAAAATGATATGCGCACCAGGAAAATCCATGGCAATACGGCGGCGTTTCCCTGGGAACCAGTCAGAAGGAAAGTGTTATTGCTAGTATTCAGATTAGGAATTCCACTGCTGTGGTCCAAATGACCCTGCAATTGTGGGCAAATATATATTACGTAGCCTTTCAGCCATGCTGTTGAACAACTCTTACAGCTTCCTTCTCCTTGCCAATATATTGTTTTTGTGTTTTTCCTGCTCAGCATGCCCTGGACCGTGGAATACCCTGTTTTCCTGAAAAGAAGACTAGGTTTTTGCTGACAGCCTATCTTAAATTTGCATTGAAGTTACAGTTACCTACAGTAATAACCTTTTGTGAATAATATTTTTAGAGGGATAGTCTTACATCCAGGGTTGTCTTCCTTTTGGGTTGATTTTGATGGAGGGTAGGAGCTTGATCAAGTTCTGCATTCAGCCAGGAAAACAAGGGGAAGGCACAAATCCAAAGATGCCGCAAACACCTACCCAGAGTCCATGTCAGACTGGCCTCCACAGGAGTCGTGCTCTCCTCAATGTCGTTCCCGTAGAGACAGAGCCCTGCCTCCAAGCGCAAACTATCTCGAGCAGCGAGTCCAGCCAGCCACACAGTTGGATCCCTGAGCAGTAGCTCAGCCAGCTCCACTGCTCGGCTTGCAGGGACAGAGATCTGGGCAGGGGAAAACATTTATTTGGTCAGTGGGCTTTTTACCCTTGCTTCCCAGTTTGTTACTCCCTCACCTTACCCACTCGTGACCCGCCTGATGATATTCACGTGGCCTGACTCCTCAGCCCCAACCAGCTGTATTTGGTGTGCGGTTCCTTCTCTCTCTCCCCTCCCCCAACCTGAAATAACTGTTCCCTTCTCAGGTCTTCGCCTTGCAATCTGACATCATCAGACCACATCAACTCTGCTGTCACATTACCCCATCCCCTTTAATCCTTTGGGTGAGCTGACTGCATGGTACCTCTACGCCATCTTCGCCTGTGTAGCCACAGCGTGTGACCCTGCAGCCTTGCACTCCAAATACACCCATCACCGCACTGCTCATGAAGGGCAGCTTAGCCAGATTGTCTGACACCCCAGCCTGCAGCACACGGGCCATGGCAGGACCTGGTAGAGGGAGGAGGAAGCAGAATAACAAGCTGAAAGCCTGCAAGCGGTTGTTAGTTCTTTGGATTCCCCCAAGACAAGTCCCAATTGAGTGCGGGAAGAATTGCATATTTCAGCTTTAGACTGTGTTTCACCCACATAATGAACACAATCTTCCTTCTCTTAGCCTAAGTCAGTGTTCCCTCTAAGCTGAGTTAGGGTGAGCTAGCTCACAGTTTTTTAGCCTCCGGCTCACACATCTTTGCCTTACCTCAGGAAGGAGGGCTCCAGAGCAAACTGATTTATGCAGTAGCCAAATAGCTTGCTCACAACTTTAATGCCAGGAGCTCACAAAGTAGAATTCTTGCTCACAAGATTCCACAGCTTAGAGGGAACATTGGTCTAAGTATGTTTTGATTAGAGGTCAAGTGTAGAGAGGAGCATAGAACTGGGTACCAGCGTGTAATGAGCTTTTGATTTCAGGCCCAAGGCCAGTTGATATCCCCAAGAACTGGTCTTGCGGGACCCAAGGGAGCCTAACACAGCAAACCCAGGAGAATGTTTTAGATGGGAGCACAGGGAATGCAACAGAACAAAAGGAGCAGCTTGGAGCTAGCCAAGGGGGGGTGAGCAGGAACATTGCTTTGGCTTTGGAAATGCAGAGAAATGGGCACTGAAACAGTTCAGTGCATTCTTTTACAAGGTGGGGGCCTGGCCCTGTTACAGGTATACATGTTTCTTTAGTTTTGCAAAAGTGCGATTTACCTTGCAGAGCAAGCAAAGCATTGTCTGAGACCTCCAAATCCACATCGCATCCAGCGGCTTTCATTTCTTTTGCCTTGTTCTGTGAGAAGAAACAAAGGTGACTGAAAGATCATGATGCACTAGGGACAGCCTCCCTTTGTCCATCCCATCCTTCCTGTAATGGGATTCAACAACCAGTGCAAGAGAGAGACTGATCAAGTCACCAAGAATAGCAGAAGTACTCGCCATCCCCGTTTCTTGTGTCGCCTCCTCCCCAGGGTGATCCTGGCTGGAAACATACCTGCATGAGGGCTAAATCTTTGTACATGCAGCCTGCATTGGAGACCACATAGAGGTGCTGCTCTGAGGTGCTGGTCACAATCAAGTCATCTATGATGCCTCCTTTTTCATGTGTGAACAGAGAGAGAGTGCCCTGGAAATAAAGCTGTGCTCAGCCTGACTCCAGTGATCGATCTCTT